AAAACCCGCAGTCAGGAAATGCCAAAGTTAAAGTGTCCTCACCCTTCCAGCACAGCAGTGCTTCTAGATGGAGGTAACACCTTTCATCAGGCCAGCAAATAGATTGGGAAAGTGTCTTGTAACACACAGCCCTTTATCCCCCCAAACTCTGAAACCTAAGTGGCCTCACTCTGCAGCTAAACAGCAAACTGAGAAAAATTGTTCCAAATTTCATAGAATCATAGAATGCTTTGGGTTGGAAGGGACCTTTAGAGGTCATCTAGCCCAACCCCCCTGCAGTGAGCAGGGACAGCTTTAACCAGATCAGGTTGCTCAGAGCCCCATCCAACCTGACCTTGAATGTTGCCAGGGATGGGGCCTCCACTACCTCTCTGGGCAACCTGTTCCAGTGCTTCACCAGCCTCATTGTAAAAAATTTAACCAGATTATCTGTCACTCCACCCATCCGCCAAGAGACGACGTAGTTGGTATGCTAACACAGCTAATTTTTAGCCTGTGGAACATGGAGATGAGAGAAAGGGAAAGGGAATTAATTCAATTGGCTTTATTTCGGCTGGCCAGGTAGAGTTCCCAAGTGCTCTGGAAAGCATCCCAGACACCTTCCAGGATAGAGATAATGTTTCTCTCCAAACAGTCACATCCCCCACTAGCAACTGGGTGCTTCTGTTTAGCATCAGTTATTAAAAGTCCTTTCTGCCACTTCTTTGTTTAGACTCGACAAAAAGGTACAGCCCTCAAGCCTTGCATTCTTTTTTTCAGCCTGATGCAGCTGTAAGACCAGTCACTTTTCTATGAAGTTCTTACAAACATCCTCTTGTGTGCATACAAGTGCACTGCAAATACAAACACTGAAATTACTGATCTGGTTTGTCAAAGGGTTATACAGTTCTGTGGTTTGCCAGAGAAACATCGTATTCCTCTAAAAACAGTTGTTCACCAGTCAGGGGGAGTGGGGGAACCCTCAGGATTTGCCATCTCACTACCTTTTGCTACACTGAATGGGAGGATTCTTTGGACATGTGGAAATGCTAAGTAGTTCAATACAGTTCTCAAAAAAGAGCAGCAAGATGTGCAGTTTCTGGAAGGTGGCACCTCAGTGAAGGCGGGTTAGTCAGCTAAGAAAGGGGAAAGGACTCAAATTAAGTGTGCCTATTATTAGTGGAGTCTGGAGTAATCCTGCTCCAGCTTTCAGCTTGGTCTGGTTTTGTCTGAGAGAACGAACACAGCACACTCTGAAGGGCTGCCTGTAACTTGTGTAGGCTTAACCAAGCCAGACCTAGAAACAACATCACCTGAATACTGCATGAGGTGAGAGCTCAGCGTGGGCACCAGCATCTCCCAGCAAGACCCAAGATAAATGCAACTCAGCTGCATTTCATCCTACACTATCATCAATCAGGCTCTACATGGGTTGCAGGGGTACTTGCAGACTGTCGAATTAACAGTACCTTCAGCTCCAGAAAGGCTTTGATTTTTCTGTATATAGGGGAAGTTACCACGTTTAACATCACTGTTTTTCTCCAAAACTTTTTAAGAAATCCTTAGTGTCCTGAATAAGTCATCTTTGCACTAGGTCTATGCAGAAATCCTCACTCCTGAGATCCTCTCAACAGGACAGATATGAGCCAGGATATCAGAGGATTCTCATGGGGGGGAAAAAAGCCTGACTGAACATGGGAGACATCCCCCTCCTCTCCCTAAGATGGGATCTCCAGCACCCCATGGGCCACCACAAAGCATTGCAGAGGGGTGAGACTACAGGTACAAGGCTTGCACCCCAACATTTAGGCTGCTTACTGGTAGCAGACACCTTATCTGCAGGAACAAACAGCCTGCAGCAGGAGGACGTGCCAAGCCGAATGATAATGATCCACTAGGCAGTGGTCCAAAGTAAGATGCAGAATGGCCATCCATCCTTAAACGTGGCTGGGGTTTTTTGGCTGCTTCTACCTGCTACTCCAGAGCAAAGGAAGAACTTCAGAGAAATCTGGTAACTAAGGAAGGTCCAGAGTTATTTCACTATTGGGAAGACAGGGAGAGGGGTGATGGTGGGGAGTATGAAGGAATCTCAGTGTCTAAAGAAAAATTTGGAGTGGTCCAAGGACAAAATTCACATCTCAGCAAGAAGGGCCATCAGTGAGGTTAATCTGCTGATGAGGCTGCCAGTTTTTTCCCCTGTTAGCAAGGAGGCACTAACAGCTCAATCATTATTGCTGCAGCAGCTTCATATGAAGGTCTGGCACAACCACAACCGTTGTCCTTAAAGCTTAACACATCAAAACCAATACTAAAAAAAAAAAAAAAAAAAAAAAAAAACCAAAAAACCAAAACATTCAGAAAAACAGCTGACAGTTGAGAGATCACAGCTGTTGCCAAATAATATTTATATTAAGTAATACAGTGTTTAGACTAGTATCTGCACAAATTGCTGGCTCAGCTATAGGCTCACTGATGTTACCCACTACAGCTCACTGCAGCATACGGAGGCGGATGTATGATTTTGGAAACACAGAGTTTAAATTCCAAATGATAAGCACGCCACTGCATTAAAACATTAACTTTGGCATTTCATAACAATGTATTTAAAATAATAAAATTAAGAATAACCTAAGTAAAACATCCAAGTGTGGAAATCAGCAGACTATCAACGATTTCTCACATATGCATTTGTAAAATGCCCCTGCTTCTATGGTGTTTCCCACCACAATATCACAGAAAGCTTCAAATGCCATTACAGAAAGTGCAAGAGTATCCAAGGGAATGTAGGACTCAAGTCGGCCTTCAGTTGATGCCGATTTGGTCTCTTCATCCAGGCAAACCTAATACACAGATATTGACCATGATACTCAGTACTGGATTTTGTCCTCCAAGAAAGAGGACAGAGAAAACCTTTGTCCACCACAGAGGTACATCACTCTCCAGGACTCAAGCTTATCTGCCTTTAAAATAATAGCAGACCAAGCAAGCAAATTTAGTAACCTCAGTTACTTTGCTCATCATCTTGGACACCTCCATCAGAGATGATGAGCCTGGATCCCTCAAGCATCTGAAGAGCGGCCAGACCAGCCAGGAAAACTTCAGCCTTTGAAACAAACAGGTAGTGAACTATTCACCTGTGCTTAATCGTGCTGATGCGAGGGCTGCATTGCAACCTGGTCAAGTCAAAGCCAATTTCTATTGGATTAAGTCCACCTGAGGCTGCTTGCAATGAATATTTACATATCAAATTACAACCTGATATCTTGTTTCAGTCATTGACAAATTTCATCAAGTGAAAGTCTGAAATGCAGGGAATGATGAACAGCCACCAACATAGAGGTGAGATTCTCTCTGGCCATCCCAACATCAAAGTTAGGCCAACGTGGCATAGCAATATGGGAGAAGCGCAAGAGAGCATTTAAATTGTCTTTTTCAAAGTTTTCTGGGCTGGTTGAGAGCCACTTTGAGGACAAACTGCTGGCAGTATAAACCCCTTAGCAACTGTGAAGCTGTTAGTTATGCAAAGGAACATGCACTACACAGTTTAAATTTTGCTGGATACACACCTAGAAAAGGAACATGCACTACACAGTTTAAATTTTGCTGGATACACACCTAGACCAGTCTCCATGCATGCTCTATAAGCAGTTAGTAGGTGCTACTCAAGTGGTTAAGACCAAAAGCTAGTTTCCTCTAGGTACGCACTACTTAAGACAGTTTTCATCTGGTATGGAAGTGATCCAAGCCTCAGCCATTCTCATAGTATTAACATTTATTATCTGTTTTTTAAGATTATTTTTTTCATTCTCTGAAACATAGGTCAGGAATCGTGAAGTTGTTTTTGCCCAAACTTCACAAGCAGATCAGTGTTTCAGCACCTACATTTTCATCCCAAAAGGTAAATGTCTTGCTGTGTTGTCACTGATCCCTTGTGCAGCTTGACAACAACCAGTCATTGCTGCACAAGGTGCAACACAGCTGCCTTGTGAAGTTATCTGCCATGCTACAGGGCTCATCCAACCCAGGAAGACACTAATGATTCAGTGCTTCCCATACTGATTCAGCATGTTGCCCTCCACGTACTCTAAAGCACCTGCTCCATTACTTGGACACGCCATGTTCCTACAGCACAATGGCATACCAGCTGCTTCTCACAAGGATTCTTTGGATAGGTTTTCTTGATAAACACTGTAGTAATCAGCTAGGTGTCACATTAAAGCCTGTTTCTTGATGTGGTTCTTTCAAATACTCATTTTAGCCTCAAACTGCCCTTCCCCCATCTTTTAAAGAGGAAGGTATGCAAAAGAAGCTCAAAGATGAAACAGTAACTACTTTGTGTACCAAACACAATTTAACTAATTAGTGCTACCATCAAACCTGATGATAAATACCTAATCTTTAGAAAATATAACTCAGTGGCTACTACAATTAGATCTAGTTTCCAGAGCATTCCTTAAATAAAAATTCAGTTATAGATCAAAATAAAGAGTCCTACCCCCACCCTTTTAACATTGAAAATGTGTTTTATTTCTGAAGCATATCTGCAGTCCCAATCCCTTTAAGCATAATGCTTCCTTACAAAACCTGCCCAGTGTCCAATCCAGACAGAGGGAGTGCCATCAGGGATTAGCGTGTTTCCAGCTCTCCCCTTGTGCTGCTCTATGCTCCTCAGGCCTGGCGTGCAGGATTTCTCAGGGCTACTACAGCAGGAAAGAGACGGGAGCGCTAGACCCACTCTGCGTAACAAAAGCTTTAAAGATAATGAAATAACCGCCCTCCCACCCCATAGTCCGAGATCTTGGGGAAATCCAGCTTTAGGACTTTGCACAGCACTTGGACCCTCTGCACTTGCTGGGCTTAATGTTTGGAGAGGGAACAGAAGAAAAAGCAAAGAGCTCAGCTGAAAGAACTGTGCTGCTGATCCTTCCTGCCACAAAGCCCCGCTCTGTTCTGCTTCCACAAGTTCACTTTGCCTTTTTTTTTCCTCTCTCCTCCTTACAAGTGGCTTTGAGCACACTTACCATCTGGGACTTCATCTGGCCGCTTCCTTTTCTCATAAACAACTATGATGACAACGAGGATAACGATTTCTGCCAAAATCCCCAAAAAGGGCCAGAGGGGAGCCAAGTGGCTGCGGACACGGAGGATGGTTGTGACCGAGACAGAGCCGACCTGGTTGGTTGCGTTGCATTGGTACTCGCCAGGATCCTCGTTTATCTGTAGATTTGTGATGCTGAGCTCAGTGTAGTTGTCTTTATTTGAAATAAAGAATCGTCCAGAGGAGTTGTTGATGTCCTGATAAAAGGAGGAAGGTGGAAGAGGAAAAGAGCAAGAGCTTTAGTAAGTTCTCGTTCCTTTTCTTTTCTATGTCATGGAAACTAGAAGATTTGAGGGATTCTTCAAAGAGGCTGGTTCCTTAACACAACAGAAAAGCCCACTGTCAGTGTTCATTCTGTATCTCTCACTAAAGTGAATTGTGCTTCAAAACAACAAAAAAAATGCCAGCTTGACTGACAAGCTGTATTTTTTCCTACTTTAGCAGTATCAGCCATGAAATACGCCAGTGGTTGTGATCAGGTAAGCTACCATTTTCTCAGCCTTTTGCTTCAAGAGAAACTGTTACACTCCACTCACCAGTTTACAGCAATAAAATGAAACAGGTCAACCTGAACAGATGAGACAAGTAACAAGAGAGAGGATACATTCCCTAGTAGGGGACAACACTATTTCAGTGTAGAGGGGAAAACAGAAAAAGCAGTACCAGTTAAGATTATTCTACACTGCATTAGATAGCATTTTCTAACTATTTAAGGTATGATGGCCCTAATAAATTTTTGCCTTTGCTATGTTTTAAGAAGAAACACACCCTGCTCACAGATATGTGGTCAGGACAGCCTAAGCCACTGACTTCAGGAATATTTAGAGAAGCTGAAATTCGAGGCACCATATTCTTTCTACATTTGAAAAAAAGATTTCCAGAGTTGCTTATGTGTAAAGAATTAAAAATAGGCAAAACTTGGACAAAGTATGGATGTTTGATCTTCCTGAAAGTTAACCTTGGATGAATTTATCAGATAAATTCACCAGAAAGACAGTGTAAAGAGAGATCTGCAGAACACCATACAGGACTCTGAAGACTCACAGCACTTGGTAAGTCACTCATACAACTCATACAGCACTGTCCCTTAAAAACTTAAGCTTGCACTTAACAGTGAACAATCAACCCATACTATTAGTTGCTTAACATTTTTTCTTCATCTATCGATCAAATTGCTACCTCTCTGGCAGATCATACAGCAACGTAAAAATAGGTGGGCTGAGGATTTAGCAACCTCCAGCTTCTCTTCTGCTATTCCAATTGCTGGTCAAGTTTTTTGCTCACCAATCAGCTGCCACATGGAAAAAATATGATCACTTAAACACTAATAGGTATGACTGCCACATCCTCATATTAAGTCTTGTGAGTTCAAACAGTAAAACTGGAAAACTGTTTGAGAAATTTATAATCAAATGCATTTTTAAATCACATTTCATAATTCATGTTCTGCAATTTATCGCAAATACCCTGAACATCTTTCTGGACAGTTCATAACTTTGCCCAGCAACACAATGAGCAATTCTGTTAACACAGCAACAATATAAATATCCATTTTATACTCACTGCTGCTGAAAAGTTTCAGCTTCACTCACTAACGTATCAGATTTTTGAGGAACTGCATTTTGAGAAGTTATAAGGCACCCTAAATAATAAATCCCTAAAACCAAGGTGCTCATTTCTTTCCTTACTGGGGGTTTTGGCAAGTTAATACATGTCTAACACCCCAGTTTTCTTACCTCAAATACTCCATTGATCTTCTTGCGCCACACCCACTCAGGATGTGGGAAGCCCACAGACTTGCAGTACATGAGTGCCTCCTGCCCCTCATTTTTATTTTCACTTCGCTTGTGGCCAGTGATGTCAGGAGTAGCTATGAAACAAAACAAAAAACTCTGTTTACAAGCTGCTCATTAAAGAGAGAGTTATTTCAAGCTCTGAGAATTTGAACAGGAAATTAGTGACAAGTTCCCTGGAAGCTGTTGCCTTTCCCACACTGAGCCCATCTTACAGAAGAAAAATTGCGATTCCCATGTTTCTCCAAGCAGCATCTCAACTGAAGATCTGCAATGTCCTTCAGGCTTGGTTTGCCAGGCAAATTGAGGGACAAGGAAGAAATCTCAACATCAAACTTGAGCTATCTACCAGAAATCTACAAAACTAAGATGGCCCAACCATTCCCCAGTGCAGGAAGCTGGGAAACATCCACGTCTCCCTCCCCACCGCTCAGGAAGTCCCTGCGGCTCTGCAGTACCTTCAGCTTTGAAATAGAGCTGTCAGAGATTCTGGTTACAACTTGCTCATCATGTCAGGACTCTGAACTGATACTGTCTTAACACGAATTTCTGAAAGCTGAATCAAGGTATTCTTCCTTGCAGCAACATTTTAGATTTGGTCCACAAACATGCTGTGACTTGTTACACTTTATGCTTGTTATACCTTACAGCGACACTACTCCTGGGTACCACTGGGTATCTGTAATGCAGCAGAAGTCAAAATCCCTCCAACAAAGGGCGTTTCATTCAGCCTACCCACAAATTCGTATATTCTAAGGAAGGTTGCAGGGGAAGCTGGGCAACCACAAGCAAAACACAGCCCTGAATATCAGCAGAGGGTCTTCTGAATTAATTTCTCTATAAATAATGTCACTGCTGTTTGCCACATTTGTCACAGCAACCCGTTGCAGCCTAATACCTCATGAGAGATTACAATGGATCAATGGACTGCCTGAGCTGAACCTTTGCTTAAGCAGATGGCTTTGGTGCCGTAGCGACTACCTTTAAAGCCCGTTTGCTTTCTAGCTTGCTAATTATGTCACACGTGGCCTGCTGTGTGATCGCAGGACACTGATCTGTTAATCCAGTCAAAGTCCAATCTGAGTGCTGCAGGAAAAGACCCCCAGGCACTGGAATTTATCCTAAGAGTCTATTCAAGGAGAGTTCCCTTTACCACTAGCAACCCCTACAGATAGGTATAGAGATGGAGCACAGGTTTGTGTCAGCTTATCTGCAGCTGAAGCTAAAAGAATTAAGCAAATTTCACAGTTGTCATCAGACACAGCAAACAAGAACAAGCAAAATACCTTGCACAACAGGACAACATCAGCTGAACCTGCTCTTCCCAAAAATTACATCACAACTCTTTGGGAAAATGTTCAGCAAGTTTAAGTGCTAAAGGAATTACCATATTTCAAGGCAAGGGCTTTTCAAATGCAGAAAGCATCCCACGCCTTATTCCTGCAAGATTCTTTTCTGACAGTAATGCAGCTGGTTGACAATATTGTTAGAGGCAGAATTAAAATAAGCTTCTGAACAACAGAAAAATCACAGTTGTAAGAATACTTAAGCTACAGCATTCCTTAGTATGTGTGTATTCACCTGAACAGACACCACCAGGAGAAGCTGATCAACCCAGGCTTTTCTCAAAACACCTATGTAAATTCAAACAGGATTTCCAACACATGTGAACTTTGCAGAAGGTCTGGCCATTTGCCATGTAAAGAAACATTCACTTGCTGCTTACAGAATTATTAACTCTTAGCTGCATTTTCTAATGGATGACTTGCTCCAACTCAGCAACAGCCAGAGCACTGACAAGCTGAACAGATCCTCCACACTGGACGCTGCTGCAGAGGATGCAGAGGCCAGGTGCTTAGCAGATATTGCCCCCCAGCCATTAAAACTAACTCCAGGACTTCTGGTAGAACCCTTAAGGAAGTTATGCCATTTTAAAATATTTTAATATGCTAAGCATGTTCTCTTTTTTCCCTGATTTTTAAGTAAACACCTTTTCAGCAGGGAGCTGAAAAAGAGCTCATTACTTAAGAAAAATACTATGATTGTATCATTCCGTAAGGAAGTACTTGATCAAAGTCTGCAAGTACCCACACAAGCAAATAATGGCTTTGCTAACAATATTCAATATACATGATCGCATAGCAAGACCAATGGATGAAACTAGACAAATGCCGACTAGTTGCAAGATGATGTTAACCATAACCATGACATGTAAGAACAAGGCACTAGGGATTTTATTTCTCTTTAAGAAAACTGACGTCTAAAATCCATCTTTACACATGTCGTGGTTTAGCCCCAGCCAGCAACTAAGCACCA